TTGTCTCACCATTGACACACTTGATAAATTTGTCTCTAACCAGTGGCGTAATCCCGAAGGAATGGAAAACTGCAGTAGTAATCCCCATATTCAAAAGTGGGGATGTTTTTGAATTGTCAAACTACCGACCGATCTCGATCCTCCCGATCCTATCTAAAGTTATTGAAAGGATTGTGCATGAACAGGTCACTGAATATCTTACACAAAATTCGTTGTTGTACAGTCACCAATCTGGATTTCGCCAAAACTATTCATCCGCAACAGCCCTCTTGAACCTTACTGAAGATCTATTATCTAATATGGATAACGGTCTGGTAACCGCATTTGTAGCGTTGGATTTAAAGAAAGCGTTTGATACTGTAGATCACAATCTGCTCGTAAAGAAACTCGAATGGTACGGATTTGATCAAAATAGTGCATCTTGGTTCAAAAACTATTTGAGTGAGCGCACACAAGTCACCAAAGTAAATGGTATTACATCATCTGTTGGGAAAGTAGAGTGCGGAGTCCCACAAGGATCAATATTGGGGCCGATGTTATTCCTAATATTCATAAATGACATTGCAAATGTGGTGAAGCATTCATCAATATCATTATTTGCAGATGATACGTGTATATATTATTCCTCCAATAGTGCCAATGATGTATCAAACAAGGTTAATGATGATTTAAATACTGTAACTTTATGGCTGAATGCTAACAGGCTGATACTTAATATGAGCAAAACTGAATATATGCTTATTGGATCCCATAAACGAGTAAAGCAGTTTCATAATGTAAATATTAATATACACATCGGTAACAATGCACTGAAAGAAGTATATAGTTGTAAATATCTTGGCGTAATTCTTGATCCTAGTTTGAATTGGAAACTGCACATAGACCATGTACGCAAAAAAGTTGTCCGAGGCTTATTTCTCTTTCGTAAAGTCAGACCTATTGTTGACTTGTGTACTGCTAGAATGCTATACTTTAGTATTATTCAAACACACTTTGATTACTGCTCTATAATTTGGAATAATGCTACTCAAGTCGTATTAAATAAGCTACGTGTTCTACAGAATAGAGCTGTACGGATTATGGTTAAGGCACCTTTTGAGCAAAGAACTCGAGAAATCTACCAACAAGCAAAGATAATCCCAATCGTTGATAGATGGACAAGAGGAAATTTAATCATGCTATTCAAGATCATGCATGACTTAACTCCAACGTACTTATCTTCACGAGTTGAATTACGACATAATCCACACAATTTAAGAAATAGCGATCACAAAATTCAGCTTCCAAAGCCTAAGACCGAGTTTTTGAGAAGAAGTTTCTTTTATCATAGCTCCAAATTATTCAATTGCCTCTCTTTTGAAACGCGAACCTTAGACACACTGGCTACCTTTGTTCGCACCATTGATTTGAATGAACTCATGTAGACTGAACATTATCTTGCCCTTTTTACAATTTTTACCTTCAATTTGATATTCTATTGGTTATGTTTTAAATAGATATATATATATATTTTTTTTTTTTTTGATTAAATATTTTTTAATAGTTTTTTTTATTGTTGTTTTTTTAAATAGTTTTTTAAACACGATAAATATTATACCCATCCTCTTATTTCTGTCTTGTGTTTTTTTTTTTCTTCTAATGTTTACCTTGATGTTTTTTGTGTTATGTTATCGGTTTTACAGTTTTTCTCGTATGCTTGTTGTCGTCCTAGTTGAATATCTGCAATCAACTGTCTTATTGCTTGTTGTTTTGTACTTTAATCTGTTAGATATTTATTTGTTTGACTATACATGTACATATTCATTGCCTTACTTCTTGCATTTGCAACGTTTTACATATTATTGTATAATTCACTGTATATTTATTGTTATTTTTATGTTTGTGGACCCCTTTGAAAATCAGCTGTGCTGAAAGGGCCATCCACCCTATGAGAGGAAATGAATAAATAAATTTAAAAAAAATAAATAATCATGCATTATCAACTACATATAAAGCAGCAACCAAAAACTTAGGGTTATCTGAGATAGGTGAAAGTAAGAGTTAAAAAGAAAGTCATGCTAAAACGGCGCTTCACTTCCCCCCGCCCCCTGAAAAAAATAAAATAGATTAGTAGTCCTCCTCTCCAGAATCCCCCTCCCCCCGCTTTAATATCACATTTTCACTTGGCAGCCCAAGGGGGCCGGGGGGGGGTGGGAGGAGGGGGTTAAACCCCCTACCCCCCCCCCCCGCCGTAGATCTGCCCATGTTACCATATCATTCCACGCAGGAGCGGCGATCTCGGGGGGACGGGGGGGGGGGGGGACACGTCCCCCCCCCCCCTCAATTTTTTTAGGGGGGGATCGTCCCCCCCCCCTGGAAATTTGAAAAAGTGTAAAACCAATTGTATAGCATATACTGAATAATGACTGCAACACACTTTTAGGCTCTGGAAGGCCCAAGAGTGCAGCGTTTAGACTAATAAAATTGCAAAAAAAATCTCGCTCGGTCGCTACGCTCCCTCGCATAACATCCTCGCAAAAAAAAAAAAAATCGCATTTCGTCCCCCCCGGTCATTAACAGAAATCGCCGCCCCTGATTCCACGACATTTTGGTCTTCCTCTTCTCCTCAAAAGGGACTTTTATATTTGCATGGACGTGGACGTGGACGTGGACGTGTTACGTCCTTTTAAGGCACTGGTAATCACATGTGACGTCCTTTTAAGCACTGGCAGTGCCTTAAAAGGAGGTCACACGTTGCAGTCCACGTTCTCATCGTGCAAATCTAAAAGTCCCTAATATTGATTTACTGGTCGAGGTTCATTATTTGCTGACAACGAAAAACTTCTCCAGGCCATGACCATGTTTCTGCCCTTGCCCGATCGCCTCCAGCTCCAGCAGACATGGCGCGGCAGCGTGCACACGCACCGCTACTAACGGCGCAGTAGGCCTATAACCACTGCTGACGGCGGCCCTGCACTGCGAGCTGAATCGGTAATAATAGGCCTACTCATAAAACGAGAAATCTTGCACGCTAATCTTAGTTCCATTTCATTGGTTTAAGGTTTGAAAATTGAAACTCAATATTGTGTTAAAGTTATAACAGAAAAGATTATCTTTGTTTTATAATTCCACCGGGGCGATTTTTAATTTTGCAATCGCCCCCGTGAGCAACCTGACGGGGGCGATTTTGTAGCTCACGGGGGCGAATCGCCCACCGCCCCCGTGTATTTTGAGCGCTGCTTGTAATTATATACCGTAGATGTATATACATGTAGCAACCAGTCTCGTTTTTTTAAAAATTGTAATAAATATTATACACAAATCTTATTTATAGGATTTGGAAACACAATGTGTATTTTTCAATGAATTTTATTTCAGGCTTTAGATAGCGAGAGTCAGACTCGACTCGCACATGTGCTATTTTTTTACTCTATTTTACCATCGATCACAAACTCATTGTAAATATTTATTTATTTTTTTTACTCTTAACACTAAAGTTACTTAATACTGTTTTTCAATATTTGTATAATGTACATGTATATCGCTGTAGAACATGTATGTTTATAATTCATGTCATGTATTTATGTTATATTGTCATTGTCATTGTACATTTATACAGGTATATATCTTTGTTTCAATGTTTCAATGGTGAAAAAATAAATTCAATTCAATTCAATTCAAGGTATGTCGTATCGGTCTGCATGTGAACATAAATGCTAATTGGAAACTGAAGGGGAGTCATTAGAGTCAGTATAGGTCAGAGAGGTACATGAAGGCCTACTGTAAGCATTTGTAGACCAAAAGTGCGAGTTTATATTCGGTGCGTTATTCGCAAGTACCGCCCAAGTACAGTATGATAAAGGATATTTGGGCGGCGATTTCTTTTCATGACCGGGGGGACGAAATGCGGGGGACGAAATTGGGGAGGGGGGGGGGCAGGAAGAAGAAGACAAAAATCCGCATCACCACCACTCTTACATGTTACGCACGCCCTGGGAACGTTTTTCAAAGTCGGGGGGGGGGAGGGGGGGGCTAAGTATTTACGATCAGGTAGAGCAAAGCAAAGCAAAGTAGAGCCTAAATTGGCGTGGGGTCCAAGGGCAAAGCCCCGGCGGGTGTCAAGGGGCTGAGCCTCATGAAGCTCAGGGGTTTTAGGCATTTAATTAATATTTCGACACCTTAACTGTTACACTGGCATGCAGATCACTTATTGGAGTGGGGTCCAGTGGGGCGCCCCAGAAGCTCAGGGGTTTTAGGCATTAAATTACGATCAGATGAGCATCCAGGGGCGCCTTAGGGCCATTGGTGGGGTCTAGGGGGCAGAACCCCTGGAAGCTCAGGCGTTTTAAGCATTAATTACGGTCAGATGTGCAACCAGGGGCCCGCCTTAGGGCCCTTGGTGGGATCCAGGGGCCTTAGCTCCCGGAAGCTCAGGGAAAAATCATGCCATTTCAACAACATTTGTAAATCACTGGTATCGAATTAGAAATAAACCACGTTTGAATTTCATTTGGGGGGAACTACCCTCAGTACGCAAGTGCGAGGGAGCATAGTGAATGAGAGGCCCGGTGAAGGTGACGGAAGTTACTACCCCCTCACATGTTTTTGAAGTTTTGTTGTATTAAAAAATTACAGTCCTTATCAAAACTATAGTATAAAAACAAGCAATATACCCTTTTCACACCTCAATTTTCTCGGTATTTACTTGTACATTTTGAAGGATATTATGCGAGGGAGCATAGCTCCCGAGTGAGAAGATTTTTGCATTTGTATTTGACTAAACGCTGCACTCTTGGGCCCTCCAGAGCCTAAAAGTGTGTTGCAGTATTTAGTCAGTATTTGCTATACATTTTTTTATGCACTTTTTCAAATTTTGAGGGGGGACGATCCCCCCTACAAGAATTGAGGGGGGGACGTGTCTCCCCGCCCCCCCCCCCCCCCCCGCGATTGCCGCCCCTGATTCCACGTAGATAACAAATGATGCACAACAAATCCACCTCCATACAATAGTTCATCGCGTTCAGTAGTTCAGTTCCATGCTGCACAGAAGAAAACATCACATCGCTTTTCTTTTGATATAAAATAGAGCACTGACATGGACAGAGAGGAGGAAACTTCGAAGGCAGAGGTTGAGAAGTTTATGCTGGGTGCTGATGCAGAGCCAGATGGAAAGGAGAAGACAACATTCGGATGGATGTGGTGCAGACCAAAGTGTTTTCAGGTTTGTGTATTCGATATCTGCTGAACTTATACAGTTGAGTTCTGGTCACGTAATTCCATTGTAAAATAAACTTACTAGAATCAATTGGGAGAGGTTGGTTATGAAGTAGGTCCTATGAACTTATGCCATGATATTCATGATAAGACTTTGACTTAGTCTTGCTGAAGACCACATGCATGCCCGCACAGAATTATGTATGTTGGGAATGAAGATGATTTTCAACTTTAGTTAGGTACACGGACGGCTCCAACAGGGAAATGGTGTTCACTTTTATCTGAGTGCGGATTCTTAATTATGATCAAATGTATAAAGCGATGCCACCGACTGATTATTTAAAATCGGTAACCAAAGTGCCAACATTAATGTTTTATGTCCGATTAGTGATTTTAGGCATTATAGAACAAATATTTAGGCTGATAATGTTCGTTTGGTGTAAAGCACCCACTATAAACGTTTATATATATATGCAATCAGGACGTGTTAGATGTTAGGTGTTAGTTCTTAGGTGTAAGGTGTTAAGTGTTGTAGGTTGAAATTCTTTATTATGTCGCAAGGGACCAGCACCACACAAGACTTAATTATTCTTTCTTGCTGGTTCCTCATTCGTATATATATTTGTATCTTTTCTTATGTTATTTGTATGTTCTTTACTTATCTGTAAATATCAATGTTATAATCATGTATGTTTTTATATGACGAATGAAATAAAATGAAATGAACAAATGAAACAATGAAATATGGTATAGCTAAAGACCCACACAAATCCAAAGGGCCCAAACGAGCAGCTATTCTAGACAGTCAAGAGGACTAACTATTTTTTTTTTTTTTAATTTTATTATTATTATTATTATTATTATTTTTTATTTTTTTTGGGGGGGGGGGAGGGATGGGATCACTGCAAGTCTCTATTTCGGTATCAAAATTAAATGATACATGGGTTTATGAGGCTCTGGTGGCCAAATTATATGTTTCAGGTAATCCAAAATCTGATTTTAAGGACCCAAATGTAACATACGTGTTTCAATAATAATAATAATAATTACAGTGCTTATATAGCGCCTAACACTTACTTTGTCAGAAGTCTCTAAGCACTCTACAATAACGCGGCATGATGATTTTTTTTTCAACATACATATTTTGTAAGTGCGTTACACAAAAGGTCCCTATTAACTCAAGCACTATAACATCATTTTGAGGCACCGGAGGAGGAGGGGGGGGGGGGGGGGGTCAGGGAGCCCAGAAGCTATATAACACGGCCCAATAGGAAATGCGTGAAAATCATGTATTCGACTTTATCAAATCATATGCTATATGACGTGTTTAACCCATTGATTATAGCCATGTATATAGTAATTTAGGCCATAATAATTATGTGTCACATCGGGTATACCTTCACCTTCCATCATAAAAGTTCAGGTAGTTTTTCTTGATTAAATCGTAAATATGGGCCCACCCATCGAAGGGCTCATTGTCTCGCCTAATTAATGTAGTAATCATACGCAGCCTTGTGTGTATCCCCACATGAAAGAGGCAAGGACTTTTTCTTCAATGGAAGTTTTCCTCAATCAAAAATGAATGCACTATGCACTCGTATATAATAATAATAATAATAATAATAATATAACGTACTTATATAGCGCATGTCACAGTGTGTCTCTATGCGTATATTTATTCATAGGGTGGAATTCGCTCTAATAAAGAAAATGGCTGTGATGGAACAGGGCAGTTCATTACAATAATAATATTAAGTAATTTAAATAGATGTAACTCAGCACAGTGACTTAAATTTATTGTGTAGTGTATTGTACTCAATGTACAGCTAGCATTCAGGCGTCGTATAAAAGAAACAATTTGTCGTTTGTTATTACGTCGTAAATTATACGATCAATATGCACACCGGATTAGTGAGTACGTCTCACCTTGTGTATATGGGATTGCTAGATAGGTAGGAATGAGAAACGGGTTGATAGGACAAACTATTTGAAAAGTACTGGAAATGCAACAAGTGATCGAGCCTTGTGGCTTAAAATGCTTAACAACACAGTTAGAGAAATACCTTTATTGAAGTTAATGAGATCTGTAATTAATCAGTGTGCTCATAGGCAATCGCATCACGAGGAGGAACTCAAATTAACAGCTGCGACCCCCTTTTCATTCCTAATTAAACGCCATCTAAAACTATAGTGCTTGAAATGTAGACAGGTGAGATATGCTAATTCAACAATTCAACATGTTCCTCGTAACAGATAGTAATAAGCTGATAAACCTTGCAATCTTATAAATAATATTTTCAAACATTCAAAATTATTTTGCAGCCTTTTGTAGGACTATTATCTAACAAAACTGGTGAGAAAACATCAATCGCAACATTTGGTGGCATTTTGCTTTTTTTAAAATAAAATGAACCTCATTATACCTGGCAAATGCTCAAACTTCTTTCAGAAATATTTAGCAGCCAGACACTATGCAGGTACATGTACATGAGACATGAACGTGTGCTTATCATAATTGCCTTGTATCATGCATTGGAATCATACGCAGCACTATAATCCTTTCTGCTTCTGGTATCAATAGAAAATTGCCAAAAATAAAATACCATACTCTTTGTAAGACGGGGGCCCAGATCAGCTGCCATCGGGATGTCCCTGGTTTAAGCTTTCATTGGGATTATTTCTACAAGGTACAAGTAAAGGTACTACCGTATGTATTCTTTACAGTAGGCTTTGATTGAGCTCACAATAGGCTCACAAAAGACTGTTTACCAGAGAGATGTTCATTTTAGTATTTGAAATTTGGGCTCAAGGCGAAAATTGTGAACTACAATCGTTTACAGTAACATAAAAGAACAGCGTGAAATTACCAAATATAAAATCACTTATGTTACATGTGGGCCTTTAAAGGTACTATGTCCCGTTTGCAGCCAACATCAAATAATGTAGCACTTTGCAGGAATCGTGATTTTGTCATGACGGGTATGTCCTATCTGTGAAATTTAAATGTTAGCAGTGTCCTAATATTCAAATTATGCAAGGAAACCCGTTTCCTTGTTAGACTTCACTGTCAGACACTATTGAGTGACTGACTGGCTTTTTTCATCTTTGGTAATAACAAACATAACATGAGCAGTAAAGGGTACATGAGCATTTGTCTACATCAATAACCCACTTCTTGTAATGGCCAAAATTAAACTGATTGAACCTTTGCGCAGTATAAAACGTACGACCATTCGGTACAATAGTCTGAAAAATTAGAATATTACTTACTGGCTCTATAGCTCCTAAGTCGATTCGACAAAAATAGTCGTTATTTTCGCACTTAAAAACATTTTCAAGCCCCCCTTTTTTTTAGGGAAGTTCTAAATTAGTATTGTCTTTCAAATGCCGTTGGAATTCAACCTTTTCATTTTTTTGGCCTGCAAATGGGACATAGTACCTTTAAAGGCATCGTTTAACCAGAAAAATGGCCCTACGTGTTATCAGTGTCTGGGATATGGTGTGTAATATTGAAGCCCTAAAAAAATTTGGCTATCATTATAATAGCCACATACCGACAATGTATCACTGTATTCAGTTACCAAAAGAGAGATTTCTTGTTATCCTATTACCCTAGTAAATTGTTTAAAGCAATCCTCTTGACTGTCTAGAGTAGCTGCTCTTTTTGGCCCTTTTGAAGCAACTTTTAGCCTTTAATTATAATGAAGAATACGCATTTGTTTTTAAAGGGTGAACACCATTACCCTGTTGGAGCCGTTTGTGTAGCTAACTACAAGTGATAGAAATTATCAGCGGAACACTCGTAAAAGGGGAAATACATTTGAAGAACAATCCTTTTCAGGGGACATTTCCTCTTTGTTATTTTTTCAAACTTATTTAAAACTTCCATTGTCCACCTTTACCCGGGTTACCCAACATTCCCACCGTCAGATATAGGATGATGGATTGAGCTTCGATTGGGGGTTAGGATTGTTTTTTTTTCTAGGGTCGGGTGGAAGCTGGAATTTCATCTAGTGATAAAGACTTAACATCGGAGCAATCGTAGAAAGTCGATATACCATACGTATTTGTTAATGATACCTCAGGTTTTGGGGGTTTTCGTTTTCATTTTTGGTTTTTTTTTTTTTTTTTTTTTTTGGGGGGGGGGGGGGGGGGCTTTGATGTGAGTAGATAAGCCATAATTTGAAGACAAGTCTTCCTTCATGTAATCAAATCCATGAATACAGGCTATGATCACAACCTCTTCGTGCCTAGACCATTGTAATTTATCATTTTAAAGATCAGTTTCCTGGTTCTATCTCCCCGTAGGTAATCAATAACCCACTCGGGTACTGTGGCATGCTCTGTCTGCTGACTATCTGTCAAAGTATGACGACATTTGGGCTGGTCTACGTCAATCTGACCACTCTAGAGAAGCGCTTTTCCTTTAACAGTGTGCAGAGCAGTTGGATATCGAGTTCGTACGACTTCTGCAATCTCGTCGTCGCCGTACTTGTGAGCTACTTTGGTGAGAAGGGTCATCGGCCACTCTGGGTGGGAATCAGTTCCATCGTCTTTGCAATGGGTAAGTGTCGATTCAGGTAGCCGTGGCCGATTCAAGGAGGGCCGGGGCACAATTATTCACAACCTGAGTGATTTTTATTTAAACTGTCTCTCCAATCTCTTCTATCCAGGTAGGGATAGATCCTGTCATTTGCATGATTGGAGAGATTGTTCAACTAAAATCGGACAGATTCTGGACCAGCTAGGGGCCTGGCAAACGGGCTTGTGCCAACACTTTCTAAAACCATTATTACAAACCGTCATACTGATTACTGTGCTCCTCCCAAATGGTTTTGCGAGCTCCTTTCAAATTTTGGACCAAAGTTTGTGTTCTCTTACCGGATCCTGTATACGCTTCTTTGATGTAATTCATCAATTTGAGCTCTGACAAGGTGGACAGGGTGGATTTTTGTCGTTGTCTGTACAGGCAACGAAATGGACAAAAGTGGGTAAATACGCGTCGATGTTCCGGGGGGGGGGGGGCAATTTTCATTCACACACAGTGGATCCCTAAAATATTTTCTATTTTGCTATTCCATTTTGCTTTTCATTTATCGTTAGGCCTAACTTGCGCAATAATTAGACCCCTAGCCAATAGGCCTATAACCTAGACAAACTTCTAACTTGGTCTCCATGCGATAACTGGTTAATAAACATGATGATTTGCTTCTTCTTCAAAGATATCAGAAAGAGAATTCTTAAGAAATACCAAAGAGCGATGGGTCATTGCTGATGCCTCATCATGTCGATGGAGGAGGGGGGGGGGGGGGGGTTCGGATCAAGAAGAGCATATCCATAACTCGTAAAACACCATGATTACCAGGACGCCTTGGTCACATTGGTATTAGTCAATCTCAGGGTAGAAATGGAAGTGAGCAAAACAAGATCAAAGATAACAATCATTGAAGAAAACAAAATCCTAATATTATCAGTTTATTATGTTTTATATTCTATCATTTTCACTAGGGTCCATCATCTTTACCTTGCCTCATTTCATTTCTCCAAACTACGTCTACCATGAGACCGTCTCTGATTACTGCGGTCTGCCGAACCAGACAAGCTCGTGTGATGACGTCATGCATGAACCTGTCAATGAACCTTCCTATGTGTACCCCTTCTTCTTCGTCACAGGTCAGGTAAGTGAAAGGGAATGTCTCATAAAACATCAGGGTTTTGAGAAAAAATTCTAAAAATTTAGGTAGGTTTATACAGTACGTCCAAATAAAATGGGAACCCGAAAGTAATCTTATAGTATGAGCAAATAATGAGCTTTGTAAATTAAAGCCTTTGTTTTTTTTTCTTCAATAAAGTAGAATTAATATCCTTTCAGATGATGATACTTTGATCGCATTAATCCATACACTCTTCACCGAGCAACATTGTTTTGGTAATTTTTTGGGGTAAAACTGGCACAAATTTGTTCATATATTGGCATTAATTTCGGTATGATATTCTTTCAGTTATTACATGGTATTGGTTCTGCTTCCTTGTACACACTTGGCGTAGCCTTCATCGATGAAAACGTACCAACCAGACACTTCAGCACGTATATGGGTAGGTATTTGGAATATCACTCATGTGAACTAGATTATTGCTGGAGTTTTTTTTTTTTTTTTTTTTTTTTTTTTTTGTATGTTATTTTGGAAAACCCTCCCCTTATGATTTTTTTGATTTTTGATTTTTAAAAAAAATTTAATAAATAAGCTCTCGAGATCGCCATTATCGGTCTCGTCGGCTATAGCATTCTCCGTGAAGGTTTCGTCCCGTTGAAGTTGCCAATAAGGCATTTAAGGATCATTCGAATATAGAGAAGGTTGAGTTCTGAGAAGAGGTAAAAAATTATTTGTGAGCGTTATCATTGTTATTATGCAAGGGTGGAAGAACATCAGATTAAACATGTTCCCTGAAAAGCATGGCTCTTCAAATGCCTTCATATTCTAAGTATGACATGAAACATCGTAAAAATCGGGGGGGGGGGCCGGGGGGGGTGGTTTTTCGCCATGTGCTCGTGTAGTCCCATATAAATAATAATAATAATAATAATGTTCAATTCTTATAATAGCGCATATTACAAAATTGTCTCTATGCGCTTAGATACGAGAGAGAGAGAGAAGAGAGAAAAGACATGAAGAATATTGAGCTTTCACCGTTTAGCAATTACAATTATCAAATCAATTACAAAATTCACATACATCATTCTGTGTACAGTGCTTGTAACTTTGCCAAGATTTGGCCAAATTTCTTATCATTTTGATGATTCCAGAACCTTGCAATACACACGAATACTTATATACTTGATGATCAACCTTTTCTGATGGATTCCACGCCGTTTCTTTCACAATGCAATCACATGACCAGAACTCAACTTTATCTTTAAGGATACTGCTCAAATAAACATTCGGTATTGATGAATTTGCATAAACAAAGTACAAATAACCTTCCAATTGACAAATAATATGTATGATTATTTGTGGTCTCTCTTAGGCGTTTACCAAGGAGTATGTGTCATTGGTCCTGCGATTGGTTATGCAATAGGGGGCGTGTTTCTCAGTATCTATGGAGATTTGAATGTTTGTTTGTTTGTTTGTTTATTTATTTTTATTTCTGCATTTTCAAAATGAAACATAATCATATACATAAAGTAACAAATATTTCTTCATTTTACATGATTATACATTTTTAAGTACATTGAATAAGATGCATACAAACACAAATATAACTTCAATGAAAAAAAAAGAAAAAAGGAAAGATAAATTACAGAAAATGCAGGAGACCGCCATCATGAGCGGTAAGCTTGAAATCGATGGCGGCCTCGAGAGAATAGCGGCAAACTCTCAAAAAATATAGTTGTACACACGAAATTGATCAAGTGGGTGCAGTGAAAGTGCATGTCAAGTGCGAATAGGGTTCTGGTATGTAATGTTTATAATACAATACTATTGTATTTTAAGAATTAATAAATTAAAATTATATTCGAATTAAGAGACGAAGTTTAATGAATAACGATTTTGTATGAGGATATAATGTGACGTTTTAGTGTCGCTTTAAAAGAATAAAGGGTCGAGCATGATTTAATTAGTTGAGATAAATTGTTCCATAAATCGGGGCCATGGTGTCTGATTGATTTATGTGTAATCAACAATCTGGGGTTAGTTAAATGAAAATTCTCAGAAATACGAGTTGGATAAGAATGAATTGTATTATTATGAACAAAAAAATTATCGAATGAAGGTGGCAGTTGCTTATTCATGTATTTGAACATAAAAATTGCAACTTGGAGCGTATGTAAGTCAGTGACTTTTAAGGTTTTTAACTTAAGAAATAATGGGTCTGTATGGGCTAAAAAAAGAGATCCAGTACAAATACGCAATGCCCTTTTTTGTAATAAAAGAATTGAATTAAGTTTGGTTACACCACAATTTGCCCAAACAATATTACAATATGTTATATATGGAAGTACTAATGTGTTATACAATAAAAATAACGTAGTATGGGGCAAAAGAAATTTTAACTTATTTATTATTCCAACACTTCTAGATATACACATAGATACATAATGTAAGTGATCATTCCATGTTAAATTTTCATCAATAAAAACTCCTAAAAACTTTAATGTCCTTTTTTGTTCGATTGCCATATTATCAATTTTAATATTAATACGGAAATTAGTCAAATGAGAATTATAGTGTTTAAAGTGCATAAAATGTGTTTTTCTTATGTTTAATGAGAGCTTATTACACTTAAACCAGTTCGAAACTTTGTGTAATTCACAATTTAAAATATTCACTAATGATTCTAATTTCTTATGAGAGCAAAACATATTTGTGTCATCTGCAAAAAGAATAAATGACAATAAAGAAGATGTGTTGGATAAATCATTTATGTATAAAAGAAATAACAGTGGGCCTAAAATGGAGCCTTGGGGGACGCCACAATTAACGGAAAGTAAATCCGAATTAAGACAGTTAAAATTAACATATTGTTTTCTATTTGTTAAATAATCCTTAAGATATGAGAGGACTTTGCCCCGAATACCATAAAAAGAGAGTTTTTTGAGTAAAATATTATGATCGAGCGTATCAAACGCTTTACTGAGATCTAAAAAAATACCAATTACGTGTTCTTTATTTGCTATGGCATTAGTAATCTTATCATAAATTTGTACTAAGGCCAAGTCAGTGGAGTGATTTTTCCTAAAACCATATTGATTTAAATTTAATATTTGGTGAGTATTTAAAAAATTGATTAACCTATTATAGACAATTTTCTCTAAAACTTTAGATATGCTAGGAAGAATAGATATTGGACGATAATTACTAATTTCATGCGAATCATCTTTTTAAAGATCGGAATTACCTTCGCTATCTTAAGTAAATCTGGAAAAACACCTTGCAAAAAAGACTGATTAATAATATGGCTAAGTGGACTTGCAATAACATGTATTATTTGTTTTAAAAGTGATGTACTAATTCTATCACAACCTTGAGCTTTGGACATGCTTAATGCTTTAGTAACGGTAATAATTTCATTAGGGTTTGTTGGACTTAAAAAAAGTGATTGTTGGATTCGATCTGATAAAAAGTCAGTATAATGAATGTTAGGAGGACTATCAATTTTACTTGCAAGTTGAGGCCCAATATTGGTGAAAAATGAATTAAAATAATTAGCATAATTACTAGAATCCTCAATTATAACATTATTTAAGGTGAACTCATCTTTTGGTAAAGGGTCTATTTTTTTCCCCATAATTTCTTTAATAATTTTCCAAGTAGCATATGTGTTACAACTAGCCCTCTTTAATTTATTTGAAAAGTGTAGCTTCCGGGATATTCGAATTAATTTTGTTAATTTATTACGGTATTTTTTATAAGTTGTTAAATTTACATCAGTTTTGTTACGTATATATGTTTTATACATGCGATTTCTAGTTTGTATTGATTTTAGTATACCTTTCGTTATCCAAGGGTTATTTGGTTTATTTTTTTTACGTTTAACTTTCGCTATAGGAATATTACTATCATAATAAGTTTGTAATTTATTATTGAAAATTTCATAGGCAATATTTACATCGTTTACATTATATACGTCCACCCATTCCTCTACAGCTAAATTCTGCTTTAATAATTCAATATTATGAGGGGTTTCTTTTCGATACATAATACTATTAAGTGGTTTCAATTGGGAAATTTCATGTTCACATATTACAAAAATAGGTAAATGGTCAGAAACTTCTGAGCATAATAATCCTCCAGTTATTTTTTTAGTAAATGCATTAGAAAAAATATTATCAATAAGCGTTGAGGAGTGTACATTTATTCTAGTGGGCTTACTAATATATGAACAAAATCCATATGAACGCATCAAATGAATAAACCTGTCAGAGTTTTTACTATTATGGGGTAAAGAAAGAAAATTTATATTAAAGTCACCCAGAAAATAAACATGTTTATTTTCCTCAGATATTTTATGAAGACATGATTCAAAATTGTTATAGAATAAATCAAAATTACTGTCAGGGGGTCTATAAATCAAACCAATAACACAATTTTTCAGTTTATCATTATCAATTTCAATAAATAATACTTCTGTCTGTTCAAATTTAATATCATGACGGACTCTAAATTTCAAATTATCAGCAATATAAAATGCTACCCCGCCGCCTCTCCTTCCTTCACGATCAGCCCTTATTAATGTGTAATTAGGTAAATTAAATAACTGGGGAGAGTCATGATGTAACCAAGTTTCACTTACTCCAATTACAGAAAAATTAAAATTATTTAAAGACTGAAGGAGATTTTCAAAATATTCAAAATTTCTATTTAAACTTCTAGAATTAATGTGTAATAAGGAGATATTATTCAAATTATCTATAAATGTATCATTAAATTCCAACGGTGTATAATATTTACTTTCATTTACAGAATCATTAAATGTATTATCTAATGATGTGGGGAAAGGTAAGTTAGAAGCTATCGTCTCCATCAAACAAAGGGGTAAAGGTTATATTCATGTTGATGAGTGCATGTGCACGTGCGTGCGTGTGAATTACATTGTTCAGGTGCTGGTGCATATACAAAATACAAATCTTCAAAGCATTAACCAAAACTTCGACACCCATCATGACAAAATCGATTGCAAAAGCGCATAAGTGGCTCTCAGCCAACGCCCAATAAACAAAACTTACACTAATCAAATCTATTATGAATAGTGGCTTAGTGAATTGAAAAAATACTTTATAACTGTGTTTCCAGTGTCAAATGCCATTTCATAATAATATGACTTCTCCCACCGATTAGGGCGCTTTTCTGCGGCGGGAGGTAGGATAAAAAATAAAAAAGCAATGAAACGAACGAAACCTGCGTGCAAGGAATGATTGATGTATTCATTGCTAACTAGTTTGACTGGACAAAAAGAAGGCACACTCAAGTGTAACATTTGACAATACAAGTGGCAATGCGACAGGGAAAGATAATGCGAGTAGCAAACGTGTAATTCCAGTAGCAAAAGATGGTATGTGTCTTTATTCAAGAACTTCAAAGCTGAGAATTGTATTTACATACAGTATCCTTTTAAGTAGAGGGTGAATTTAGTAACCCAATTAGGAGAGGAATGATGCGCATATTCATTCAGATTAAGCACTGGACTGAAATGAATTTACATTAAAGATCACTCCTTTCATTCACTACGGTAACCAACCAGTCAATAATGCAACGAGTAGTGCTTGTTCGCTTTTGTTAAGGTAATTCTTAAGGAACTTAATGTCATATTTGTTAAGAGTATATTTTAACATAGTTAAACAAAATGTTACATTATTGATAAGTTCACAACATATGCGATAGTAGTAAGGATAATACATAACAAGCTATAGAATGATTTAATTTAAATGATCGTGTGAAACACGCGGAGGTTAAAGAGCCCCATTGTCGACATAAAATAAGTGACTAAAGTGCGACCAGCTACAGGAGAAAGAAATTCCATTAACAAATGCGTAATTCAGTAGGAGAAGAACAATGTATGAATTAATTCAAAGTTAACAAAGATAAAGACCCAGTGAATAGGTCGGTCCACCAACTTATGGATGTACCCCCCCCCCCCCCGGTACGAGCAACAAGCTACATCAACCTGTACCTAACAAACAAAACCTCAATTCTTGGAATCCAGCTTGATGTTGATACTGATACGTAAGTTTTTTTTTTTTTTTTTGTAGCATTGTTTTATTGTATTCATTCAGTACAAAATATATTAAAACAAAAAAACATACAGCTTCATTGATTTAAATAACATATCGAAGTATAAAGAAAACTGTACATCCCTCAAAAAAATACATAAGATAGTTTAATACACAGTACATAATGTTTTCAAATTAATTATACTGAACGAATAAGTTGATCCGATTATTCCGATATCACTATTAGTTCATTCTCGACTACAAAGTATCTTCTCCGCTCAATATCTCATTGAAAACATGTTCTTACAACTGTAAACTAAAAACTGGAGAAAACGGAGATGTCTCTGATAATATGGTGTTCAAAATAAATCATGAAGTTGTTAATTTCCATTTTATTTTCCTGTAAAAGAGGAAATGTGGAAATCGAAGATGTTTTCTGTTTTCCCGATACAATTAAGTAACTTCCAAACTAACATTTTCTCGATTTTTAACATGATTTCACCCATCCTATTTTGATTTTCACCCCCCCTCCTGTTCACCCCCCCCCCCCCCACCCCTTTTCTCTCGGCCTTCCGCCTCCCAGACTCACAATAGATAAGGACAGTCCTCTGTGGGTAGGTGCCTGGTGGATAGGATTCATAATGAATGGAGTTCTTCTCTTTATCTTCTCACTCATCTACATGGGATTCCCTAGAGCGTTACCAGGTAAACCTAGTGACAAAAAGAAAATCCATAATTCATGTATTGTGCAGTATAATTATGTCGTGTTGTTGTGAAATATAAATGTATTTCATTTGAACCTACAGTAGTAATTCAATACAAGATATTCAACAGGCTGTATAATTCTGCCAAAGTGATTTTCATTTTAAAGCTTGCTAGTGGTTGGAATGCACACCAAAAGTTTACCAACTAATAAGTGGTGCTGTCATTCTTTGAGATGTATTTTTTGTTTGAATGGCCAGCCTCCAAAAGACAAGAACGCTCCGTTTTTGCTTCCGACGAGATTAATTGAAACCTGTTCAATTCTTTACATTCTATCTTAGTAATTTACATCAAATATTTCTATACAGTAGGCTTGCGGGTGCACCATGTGTGAGAGAGAGAGAGAGAGAGAGAGAGAGAGAGAGAGAGAGAGAGAGAAAGAGAGGGGAGGACGGTCCTGAAAAGGACTCTCGGTAATCTTTCTTGAGGGTGTGTAGTCCTGAAAAGGACTGTTTGTGTAGTCTTGAAAAAGACTGTTGGTTATCTTTCTTAGCTTATAGAGGAGAACTATAGCGCTTGGAGAGGATGAGTGGCGGGAGGTTGACTATCCGTCGTCAGGAGTATTTCTATGATATAAGTTTTAAATTCAGTTTTAAAATGCACGGATTTCCTTTTAATTTCCAGGAGGGAGTAAAGTCATGAGAGATCGGAAATTTGAGACTCAAAAGGGAAGCGAGTTCACAGTGAAAAAGGGCGCCATCAATCAGACGAAAGATTTACCTCGAGCTGTTTGGACTCTTGTCACCAACCTTCCATTCATGTTCATGAGCATGACCGTAGTCGTCCAGTTCTTCCTCTTGGCCGCTTTTGCAGTCTTTGGACCAAAGTTCATAGAGTCTCAGTTTAGTATGACTCCCACCGAGGCGGCGTATGTGATGGGTGAGATTACTGACGGGCAGGCGTTTTGGTTCAGTCCTTGTAACTGCTAAAGTTATGAACTGATGAATACAACTTGTAAATCAGATTTGAACTTTATGTTGATCCAATGACGTTTTAATAGATAGATTGGAGTCACCGCTTTCGAAGTTTTAGAGTCAGAATGATATACTGAGACGACCAAAAGTTCTTTTTAGGCAATTGTATTGACCAACCTGTAAGACTTCTGTAAGACATCGATTTCATGAATCTCTGTACCTTCATCCGTAAGTTTCCTGTAGAATGTATTGGTGTATTGAAGCACTTCAAAGACTCCCCTACCAATCGCTCTCTCTCTCTCTCTCTCTCTCTCTCTTAACCTATTATTTTCCCCTGCAGGTATCCTGTCCGTGGCGGGAGGTTTCACTGGCGCCCTCATCGGTGGGATATTTCTCAATCGCCTCGATCTGAAGTTTACTGGTCTAATGAAACTGGGCGCAACCTTGGCATTTCTGTCAATGTCAACATGCTGTGTGTTTACCGCCGTCTGTCCAACGGTTGGTTTCGCCGGGGTCACCGTCTCGTATGGGAACACGTTAGTACATTCATTTGAATATTCATATTTGAAAAATGTCTCAAAAGAATATTACTTTAGCCTACATTCTGTATAAAATAGAAAGCTGATTTTAAAGAATTCCAAGCTCCGCATTAATTATTGTTTGTTCGTTTCTGTTTAGCTCACGTCCACTTGTTAAGTCAAATACTTTATGCAGAACATTCAAAAGCATTTAAACCACAAAGTTATGCTACCTGCATTCTGTGAAAAAGAAGACCTTTTTGGTGTCAGAAGTGGGATAATATTGCCGCACAGTCTCCAGGAGGACCAGGAGATTAGTCTGGAATACTCCTTGTTAAAACTCGTCTCGCCACTGAGAACGTTTTTGTCGACGCCATTGTCTCCTGGTATTTTCGTCATAATGGAGAACGGATGACTGAGCAACGTGAAACTTTTGCAGTTGGGTATGATGGGACATTGAGACCCGAATTCACAAAGGAGGTTTGTCGACAAACCTAGGTTTATGTGCGTCATAATTATGACGCGTTTGTAGAAACCTTGGTTTGTAAAAACGCGTCAAACGCGTCATAATGACGCACATAAACCTAGGTTTGCCGACAAACCTCCTTTGTGAATTCGGGCCATTGTGTTCATGCTTTTTGGCCATAGCTTGGTCAAATGAGAACTGATTGATATATTTCCATGTGTGTATTTTGTAGGAGCCTGTCTCACGTGGGGACTCCTATCCTAAATGCAACGTGTAACTCGCACTGCGCCTGCTCAAGCAGCTATGATCCTGTATGCGGGAGCGATGGGATCATGTATTTCTCGGCCTGCCATGCTGGTTGCGATGTCGGTACTCTCGAAAACGGTGATATGGTAAATCGTCATTTTTTTTTTCACTGTTCGTAATCACGTTTTGTTGTCTGTGGTGCTTCAGATACATCTTTTAAAATCTTATTGTTAGCGACTCAACGCCCAAAGTAAACCATGTGAAAATATATTTATTCTTAAACTGCAGTCATACAACCATGCCGACCCCAAACCGACCATAAACCGACAAAATCTGTGCCAATCGGGGTGATGTCGGCAGGGGTGTCCGGGCAAACTATCTAGATTCTATCGAGCTGTGTACCAGGTCAGTTCGGGATCGTCGGTTTGTTGTCAGACATGCGTCGGTTCCCGAAATAGCAAAATTTGAAAATTGATTATCGGTCTGTTGTCATTCTATTGTCCGTCCTCCCGGTCTTATTGCAGTATGAAGGGGTATTCTATAATTTGGAATTAAAAGATATTGGATGTTCATTGGTGCGATGCCACCGACACGACAAATAATATGTGCACACTCGTTACCATGAAAATGGTAAAACTGATAAGATGGGACTCGATATCCAATAGCTTTAATTTCATCATCATTTTAGAAGATCGATTTTGAAACGATGTATGGTTTATTGTTATAGCGGCCGATAAACGTAATTCATTCAATTCATCCATTCTTGCAATTTCTTTTAATAGACTTTTATTGAGTGCCGTTGTTTTACCGACCCAACTACTACATCGGGACTAGGAACTGCGGTTTCCGGGACTTGCGACAACTCGTGCCCCTACACCAAGCTCTACTATGCCGCATTCTTTTTCATTCTCCTGTTCGGTGCCGCAACCGGTGTTTCGACCTGGACTGCGAGCATACGGTAAGGGCAGAAAAACAAAACAAAACACACACACACAAAAAAAAACGCACGCACACGAACACACCCACCCTCACTCAAAACCAAAACCCTCTTCTATCTTACGGTGAAGTTTACGTATGTACCTTTACCAAGCAGTCAGGTAGAGAACTCATTTTTGGGGGAAATGAAAATTCCTTAAAATGAAAACTAAAGGGGGGTCAATTAATATAGGCACCTTTCAGCTTCTCTGCCCCCTCTCTACTCCTGGCTTTGTACTAAGCTGGGAAGGCCTGGGTCGATTTCACTTATTTTGGCCCATAATATAACTATATTAGAATTACCTAAGATTCCTATGAAAATTGTTGTTCTTGATTTTCCACTTGATTTGATTTATTTCAGGATCGTTTCACACAGCCAAAGAGCTTTCGCACTTGGATTCCAAACACTCTTGTACGGGTTAATAGGTAGGTGTAAGAAAAGTCCATTTAATTTTTGGTCAGAATGGCAGAGTCTGGAAAGGACTTGATAAAAACGGGGAGCCACAATTCCGAGAAAAAACTACATGTACGATTAAAGGAGCACTTTCGTTGTGTACTTAAGTTTCCAAATAGGCTGGGTTTTAAAAGAGAGGGCACGGGCCGGCTCCCCATTTCTTTTTTTTTTGGTAATAACATACATAAAGTGAGCTGTAAAGTGTAATGTGTCTACATCAATAACCCACTTCTTGAAATCGCCAAAATTTAAACTGATTGAATCTTTGCGCAGCACGAAACGAACGACCATTCGGTACAAAGTTCTGAACATCAGAATATTTAATAAAAGGACTGCAACCTCCAAATTCGATTCGACAGCTAACGGTCTTTATTTTCCCACAAAACATTTTCAAGCCCTTTCGTTTTGAGGGAAGTTCTAAATTAGTACTACTTTCAAATGCCGTTGGAATTTCACCTTTTTTTTGTTTGGCCTTCAAATGGGATATAGTCGGGACATAGTACCTTTAAACTCCTTGTTGTTCTTTTACTTGAGGTTGTGTACCTGGACCCATCGTCCTGGGTGCTCTGTTGGATCAATCGTGTCTCCTGTGGGAAACCAGCTGCGAAGGTACGGGGAACTGCTGGCTGTACGAGAATCGGAACTCCGCTCTATGGTTTCTCGTCATCAGCGTGGGTTGCCAGTTTCTGGCTGTGATGTTCTTCCTCCTCGCTCTGTTTTCATATCGCCCACCCGACCAAGTCGTCCCTACCAAAGGCCAGGATTCGAGCGAGGAAACGACAGGAAATTTATCGCAGGACAGCAATAATACAGCAGTAACTGCTTGAACTATATGTGTAGAACTTAAAGATAAACTTGAGTTCTGGTAAAAAAAAAAAAAAAAAATTAATTCTCACAGAACTAACGAAACTTACACTGAATGTTCAAGATTACAAATAAATGTCATGTGCCAAACAATTTTGGAAGAAAATGTATACTGGCTGAGTAATGAGCATAGAAAGATAAGGAAATCAGGGTAGTACTAGCCCCGACACCATGTGTGCTGTCCCATATACATCTTTCTGTGTAAGTGATTGTTACTTTACCAAGACTCTGCCACATTTATGATGATTTTGATGACTCCAGAACCTTGCATTACACACCATTACTTACATGCTATATGATCAACTTTTCTGATCCATTCCACACCTTTTCTTTTACAATGCAATCGCATTACAAGAACTCAAGTTTATCTTTAAAGCCCCTTTCACACCGGGCATTGCGTAGAGTTGCGTAGTGCTGCGTACCAACTACACTGCCCTAGGCTGGCCTAGGTAACTACTGTATACGCTGAGGGACGCAAAGGGGTACGCGGGATGGACGCAAAAAATTAAACATGTTTAAGTTTGTTGGCGTACTTTCGGCGCAGACACTAGACGCAGAAAGTACGCATTTTGTACGCAAGTCATCGGAACACTATACGCTACAGTACGCCAAGCCTACGTAATAGTACGCTACCCTACGCCAGTCCGACGAAGCAGTAAAAGCTTGCGCACACAGTAAGCAACCGTACGTAACCGTAAGCAAACCTGTACGCCAGGCCTACGTAAACGTGCGCAACCCCACGCTTGTTATACGCATTCGTATGCGTAGGTACGCCAATTGCATACGCCGTAGGTACGCGGAGCCTATGCACAGGGTACGTAACCATACGCCATTGTACGCCAGCCTACGCATAACCTACGCAGGGACTACGCCGAAGTAACATTTTTGTCATGAATACGCAGTCAAATTTTGGCGTAGTCGGTACGCCACACTACGCAACTCTACGCAGATCCGGTGTTTTTACTTTATGTATGATACTCCTTTTTTCAATGATTCTGGGAAAATCGTTAGGTTCTCGTGATTTTTTATACAATGGCTGACGTCCTGCTTGTGACTCAGTCGTTATGTACTTTTGGAGGTTCATCTAACTTGAAAAGTCTTTCATGCTACATTTTAGTTTTTTATTAATTTTTTAACTAAGTATACTTTAGTCATTTTCTGTGGGTTTGTTGGGAGCTTGTTCCACATACATGGGTGGTGCATTCCTCACAAATTGGATATTTTCACATGTTATTATTGTTTTCATTATATTATTGTTATCTGGTTGAATGGCTCTTATATATCCATGTATTCTATGTTATATTCCACATACTAAGAATCTTGCTCTACGATTGGTAACAAGTAAATTACGTGATGAAAGATAGTTCGCTCATCATCGATTGGAGAAGAAAAGTTCGTTGCACTGTGTAGATAGTAGTACTATCTACATCTGCAACGCACTTCAATTGTATACGTTGCGTATAGTGTTAGTACGATAACTTTGGTCACGCGCGAACTATTCGGTCACACCACCATACTGCATGCAGTGTACATCATTTGCTAGCTGTTAATTGATGACTTGTTGCTCTAAAATGACGGAAGAAGTAAAATGTTTCCGATGTGGAATATAAAGCAAAAAATCACCATTGGTTTCAGGCGATAGCAAACTATCACTTCCTCGGCGGTCTTTCCTCAGCTTCGCTTCGGAAAGATAGCTACATCCAGATCGCCTCGGAAACGATAGTTTGTCCCATCTCCTTTACCAACGGTAATTATTTGCTTAGTATGTTAATGTACTATCTTTTATTTTTAAAAAGTGAGAATTTTACAAATTATAATGAGCTATTATAAGCACTTTCCCTTATTTTTTTTAGTTCATCCATTCAGGAAATGTAAGATGAAAGTCATGTTATTTGATGTAACTTCTTATTCTTGTTTCACTAAAACGACATTAATTGGGCATATTTGTTTTGTATTTCCTATAATCTGTCGCGGTATGTTACGCGGCCAGATTCTCGAATAATCACTGTATTCGTCTTCGGAATAAATTTTGTTAAGGACTATGCTTCTAACAACAACAACAATGACTGTATCATTAAACTATTTATCCATCATTATGGGTCCGATTGTAATGCAAGCTCGTGTAATGATTGAATAGACCAGTTTACTAGCATATTCAAATGTTATGCAAACTTTGTAAACGAAGGTTGTTCTTGACATCATAAAGGATTGTGCGAGCTTGCCCAACATAGCAACACATAATGTATGCAGACTGGATTCTAATTATTTATCATAGATCACTGTAGATCTCTTGGAAAGACACGTCCATATATTTGAATATGTTAATAACCGGTCTATTAGTTGCGAAAGGAAGGTATTTTTTAATTAGTCAAGTGTAAGCGCTGATGGACTTTTTCTACCTTAAAGGTGAAAACATAGGCCTAGATGTATTTAATTTCTTTTCCAGGTGCAAAGTTTCTTTCTTTGGGAGCATGCGGTGCTCACAGAGTCTGTTCACAAAAACCGAACATCGACAACACTGTATACCGTTGTACATAATAATTATTGTTATGATTTTCTTTGAAATTTTATTTCATACTTCTCATTCGCTCTCTCCCGTAACAAATATGTTACAAGTTAAATCATGTACATGATAGGGCCTTTTCGTTTATCGTAGGGAGTGGTTGTCCGGGGGTAGCTGTCCTAGAGGGTGGTTATCCTAGGGGTGGTTGTCCAAGAAGTAGTCCAGATACGCCCTCCTACAACGTGTGTACGGATGCATTGGGATTTTCCCTTCCCCTCTCTCCGGAGAATCTGGGTGGGCGGTGAATTCGGCACCCTGATTGGTCTAGCCACTCGGCGTGAGCGAAGGTGCTTAATTGATCTTAATTTCCCCCTAGATCACCATCGTAGGAATATTGCTATATTAAAGGGACGTAATAATCAGATAAAATTGGTTTTTAAAAAAAAGGTAAAAACACGTAAATTTTACCTTTATTGGGAGACGGGCCCCCTCCCCTGGTGCTCAAAGCGGGGGGGGGGGGGGTGCGATTTTTAGGGCAAAAAAAAAAAAAATAGTGCTCACACTATAGGTGTCCTAGAACTATATACTCTATGCGTTTCTGATTTCTGATTCGATTATTTATCAAATAATGAGATTTCTTACCAAAATTGCACGTACAAAGCTATGTTGATTTAAAGGTAATACAAAGTTTTGGAATGGGGTCATTGATTTGGTTCAATGAAAAAACATATTGGAAGCATATGCGATTTTACAATGTTCAATGGTCATTGCGACAGTCGCGGTTGAAATCGAGTCTTAAGTGATGAAATTGTAAATAATAAACTCTTTATGTTGTATAGCTCCCTCTCAAGACTGATATTACTTTAGCTTTAAAACAATTTTTCTTGACTACAATCGACAGATTTGCTATTCCCGTTTGGAAATTAAACATCAGAACTGTATATTCTGAGAATTTCATGGTCGCAGCTACCATGGAATGACCTTAGGCGCTATTGAATTTTACCGAGAGCACCGGTTAATTATGATTATTCATTTTGCTCGAAAGCAGAAGTGTTTTTGGGGCTACATTTTCTTGTGCTTATAATACATCCACAGGGGCATCCACCTATATCAAAATTTTAAAGAAATACTATCCATCCAATTTTCAAAATTTCCCAAAATTTTGCATTACCTAATTTTTTTTTAACGTTTTAGCCCTCCATAGGCTATTTTATTGAGTCAAACAACCTTTTTACAATTCAATGAAATTAAATCTTTCCTTAATTTAACTCAAACAAAACAGAATACTTTCACATTTCTCTCCTTGTTGTTCATACAAACAAATTTTGAAGTGACTACCATTTAGTTTAAAAAAATGTTATACATACCAGATATAGAATGAATATATCTCTCATCTTCATAATATTGAATAATTTTCTTCTCCAAAGAACTAAAATTTGGAATTTTATTAAGCTTTTTAACAAATAGTTGATGCCATCCATTATAAATGAGTTACACCGCTCGAAGCTTGTTATTAATCATAATTGCGACATAAACAGTCCAGAATCTAGCCGATTTAATTTTGATCTCTACCACACCGTTCCAACGCAAATATTCATATATTCAAATATTAATATGCAGCGCTAGGATGGCTAGGTCAGTTTTTAAAATGTGGCCTGCCGCGTGGAGCTTGCAAGTGGCATGCCGCCCTCTGATGGTGAGGGCGAGTATTGTAGTCTGCTACAGATCTAAATGAAAAAACGGGGGGGGGGGGGGGGGGGGGGGAGGGGGTCACTTCACTTCACTTCTTCCACACCACCGATGTTCATAGAGAGTACGTGAGATCGTACATGTACTTGAGAGAGTAATACCATTTCGTGAGGAAACCCATGAAGGATGCCGAGACCCAATTTAGCAAGCCTTTTGTTTTTATTTGTTTTATTTGTTGTCCTTTTAATGAGTGGAATTGTTCAAATGTCCAGTTCTATCTCATGGATTTACTGCCCTGCATTTCCTTCCAAATCTCTTTATCTGGAAACTAGGACTAGAATTTTTTAAATGCTTTAATTTCTTTCATTTCTTATACCCCACCCACCCCATCTCTCACTCTCTCTCTCTCTCTCGATCTATCCCTAACCTTCTCTTTCTCTCTCTCCCTCCATATTGTCTCTCTGTTTCTACTTTCTGGTAAGTAATTTCCCATTTGTCCAGTTCTCTTTATTGTCAAAAAATAATAACACTTTTTGCATTTTTCTTTTTCTTTATATATAATATTCTACATCATCTTTTATTCTAAAACATATTGCATCTTCACAAAGAAGTTATTACATAATCATACATAGCTCATTGAAACAGTCAAGGCACATGTTGAACCACAAAACAAAGCAATCACTATTGCTTTCTAATTAACCAAGGGAAATCTAGCACAAAATGACAATGCGTATGTTTCACAAAAGCATTTCTATCAAGGCGACATCTCAATTCGCATCTGTGTCATATAGCAACTTAAAGACTCAAGTATTAATTTACATTTTTTTGAAAATGCATGTAGATTGTTAGAATTGATTAGACGCATGGTAGTTAAAATGAATACATATCGTACGACACTGGTATTTTTATCATTAGAGCTCAAAGACGATTTGCTTTTCGCATACAATTAGAATGAGCTTGGTTAAAGGTACTACATCCCATTTGCAGCCAACATCAAATTCTGTAGAACTTTGCAGGAGTTATGAATATGTCACGTATGTCCTATCTGTGAAATTTAAACGTAAGCAGAGTCCTATTATTTAAATTATGCAAGGAAACCTGTTTAATTTCTAGACTTTTGATTGACTTCTTTTCCCTTTGGTAATAACATACACAAAATGAGCTGTAAAGGGCCCGGGTACATGATCATTTGTCTACATCAATAACCCACTTCTTGTAATTTTAGCTTTTAATTTTGTTGGCCTGTAAATGGGACAAAGTACCTTTAAGATAAAACTGACATGGCATTTTGCATAGAAAAACATGGTAAATGTAACACATGCACAGGCATGCATATATAGTGACCATGAGTAGTCACCATGTAGAGGAAAGAAGTGATACATAGAAAACATTGCCTCTGTTCAACTTTGGGATTCCTGAATATGAATTACCCATGGTGAAGCTCAATATAAAGTCTAAAGACTTGTAGCGGGCCATTCAACAGAGGGGCGTTTCATCAGTGCCAAATGACTTTTTTTTTATAAGCTACTGAAATCCTTGCTTCGGACTTGTTATTAGCAGATTTGTCACTGATTTTTGTCATTTGTCATTGAAAAAAGGCTTTGTGAAACGGGCCCCAGGTCTGTTCCCAGATCATTTTAAGCTCATCAAATCAATCCTTGTACAGGGTCACAATTTAGTTCAAGTGATTAGGGTCAAACTTATTACACTTCTGTTTTCAGTGGTCATTGAGTTTGGACTCAAAAACATTGACCGACGATGCCTCAACAGTGTGTCAGCAGAAAGGTCATTCCAAGAATTAATAACCCTTTGACTGAAAGAATATAACCTTTTGTTGGTGCGAAATTTCCTCTTATAGAACTTAACCAATGTATTTTCAATGCCTCATGTTTGTTTGAACTCGGTTATAAATAGTTAATGTGTCGGATCGAGAGTTAATGAGAGAAATCCAGGCAGGGATAGTGTTAATCAACAGGCACAGACTCTAATGTGACACTTTACAACAACTCCTAAAAACCTAGCTCAGTCAGTCTCTGGCTGTGGCAAACGAGAGAGGGAGACAAATACGCCAGACAGAGACAGACGGACCAAAGGAGTCAGTAACAAAACGAAAGAGATAGAGGGAGCAATACAGACATCTAGAGGTAGATATATTATTCTACTGAAGAAGAGAAAATAACATTGATAATACTGCTAATATTTGTAGATACAAATCAAGATAAATTAAAATCCCAAATTCCCGAAACCATACATAAAACAGAAATAAATAATATTGGAATAAATTAATTCATAGATAGATACAGAATTTACAAAATAACAATCATATTTATTTCTCTTTCATGTACCATCAGGTATACCAAAAACGGAAGATGTTGGTAACATATAGGACAAGGTACTTTGGACTTGTCCATGTGCATAGTTCAAATATTACTATAATCTCTTCCATAATAAAAACCAAACAATACCATGGACAATATAAAAGGTAATTTAAAAGGTAATTTAAAAGTTATAATAAGTTTTTAGTATTCCTTTTGTTTTCAGGTTTCAATCACAACTGACAAGTATAATTTGAATTGAGGTGTACCGATTCATTGTAACAATATTTGGAGGGTCACATAATGTATAACACTTGGCAGTGAGATATGGAGAGAGATAATATGAATTGCATGGCATACTCCTATAATGCTGTATATGTAAGTATAAAATGCACCACAATTAATACACGATATCGTGTTGAATGCATAGCTGGCTTTTAGCACTGGCAGAGTTAATCAATTTCCAATTAAAATTCATGTTACATCATGCCTATACTCAATGAAACAAAGTCCCTTGAGTTATTTAATTGTGATGAATAACATTCGTGCATACAAATAAATAACTTAAGTGTTAGTAAATCTATACATAAAGGTCACACATCTTCTTTTGCTGTGAAATTTAATTATTTAAATGTCTGATTTGTTGTGTTTTATAAAACATAATCCCTGCACTTCAACTAAAATAAAACGAAGCTCAAACAATTCCCTGACACAAACCTCAAACAATTCCCCAACACAAACCTCAAACAATTCCCCAACACAAACATTGAAGGTACTATTCAACTTTTGATGTGATGGTAAAAATAATTGAAATGATTATTGATCTGTCTTGGGGAAAAAAAAAAAAATCCCTGAAGGAATAAAGATGAGAGTTTGATTAGGAAATTGATATGATCATTTTCAATAATTAGAATTATAAGAATTATATTTGTACCATAATATGAAATATCCCCCACCCACCCCACACAAAAAAAATATATAAAAAAAATATATAAAAATATCAGCTCTTGTCACACCTACCTAAATAAATAATTTAAAGAGAATTCCAATACCGGTATTCGTCAAGCTCCATATAATCTTGCTACCCGTCAGTATGTGTGCTGATTTTTTAGCAAGTGTTTTCTAAACATATATAGTACCCTTAAACATAACTCAAACCAATTAACAGTTCTTACAATTCATACAAATCATTATTATTATTTACAATTTCATAATCATACAGAATAATCTAAATCAATTTAGCCAAAATATACAAATATGCTCTTGATAACTATAATCTGCAAACATTATGTTTATTTCATAGATAAAGCAAAGAGAATTTCACCATAGGAATGATAGATTGAATAAAAAACAAGTAAAATAATTTAGTGATTGGAGGTCAATCCAACTGACCTGTGCGGGAAGCAACATTGAATTTATTTGAACGGTCACTCAACCTCAAAAAGCTTTGCAAATAATTGCTCTTCCATGAACAAACAAAAATCAGAATTCCATCAATGTAAACTTCACATGCCAAATTCATCATAAGATATTTTCATGATACAATAACAATTAAAAAATTGAATCTGGAATTTAATATTATTAGAAAAAGGGGGGCTCCTTAATGCTAAAGGCTGGTCAATCCTTCCTTAATTGTAATTCAGTATACCTATAACATGTGTTTTCAAGTACTAGTAAATAAAAAAAGATAGAGTTAAAAAGTAGAAGAATCATGATGCACAAGCAAATAAAACTGTGTACTGCCCTCTGGGATAACTTTGGGTACAGCTGTTGGTTCGGTAGCAGCATAGGTAAACGTTTCAACATAAATGGAAGACATCTTGTTGGATGGAACACGTTTTAAGTAGAATAATACTTGAACTTCATTGTAAATTTCTTTATCAAGATGCATCACACTTTATCACTTAATACTATTACAATGACAGTCATTCAAGATGTTCTTTTAATATTTCAATAAAATGACAGAGTAATCCAAAGCAAGTAATGGTAAAACAATGTGGACCAAAAGTTGTAATGTGTTAACCTGTAATAATAAAAATGGCAGCATGTTCCTTTTTTTTTTTCTTGATTCAAGTTTTAAAAATAGCTCCGTCACTTTGTCAAGTAGAAATAATCAAGCTTAAATTTCAAATTCTAAATTTGTATAAATGACAGTACTCCCTATTTAGTATGGACTTGTGAATTTAAAAACATCTTATACAGTCGTCTGTCTTGATTGATGTAAATCGTCCATGCTCGACTGAAGCAGTATCTGTTGATGGATCCCGTTTGGGATAGCACCATTTTTCTTCTTCATCCCTTCGGCGTGCCTGGCAGCGACCCTCGGCGATCCTACCGGAGGGGGCGGAGGCGGTTTGTAGGTGAAGAGCGCCCCCATGAAGAAGATGAGAGAACCGACCTTGATGCAGGCAGCCAGGATGAGCATAGACCTGCTGAACGTGGCATTGTTGTAGAGCCAGCAGGTCCCCTTGCCATCGCATGAGTTCTCCCAGAGTAGGCAGGCCTTGTCGATGATCGCTCCAAAGACTACAGGACCAGGAACAGTGCCTGGGGTAGTATCAATGAGACAAAAGGATCAATGGTAAATTATTTTTTTGTCATTTCAGTTTATTTTGTTGTAGTTCTTTTTCCAGCCTAATACATGTACACGTTTATCTATTGCACTGAATATTTTACTAAAAACCGACTGATTCTTGGCCATTCAGGAGTACAGTAATTATTTTGTTTGGTCTGTAGTCAGTCTGGTGTCGATCTCATTAAGGGATCTAGTACATTGTCTGGCATTTCATACAAATTAATTCTTTTTTATTTAAATGCAAAATCTTTTATTTGTTTAACGACCATCTCATTTTCATTTCGTGAAAGAGTCGCATGTTCATGGGCAAAAGAAATGAGCATCCCTAATGATCAGTATTGTGAATTTGTTATTTTTCAATAAACATGAGATAAATTCATATGAATCAATAATTAAAGCATTCATATTTATCCAAAATTTAAAAAAACAAAGGCTGATCAGAAACCAAATAAATTCTATGACATTCTAAAGAGCTCCACATTCCTTACTGATATAACTGTAGTACTACAAAAGGCCCTAATTAAAGAACCAATTCTTCTAGACGATGCTCTTTTTAAAAAATACTTTAACTATTTCCTATTGTAGCTGGGGGGTATTACAGGTATGTGATTGCATGAGCCTGTTCGATCACAAAGCCTGGAAAACAGGCCATACACAACATACCTAATGCTCTGTAGAGTAAGGACTGCAATCCAAGTGCAAAGGATCTCTGTGAATGAGGAACACATCTGGAAGAGAAAAAAAACAAATAGAAAATTGATAAACACCTTAGTTTTGTTATAGGAATGGCTTGTACATCAGGGGGGGGGGGGATCTATATCTTACAAAGTCAGTGATTATGTAAATACCTGTGTAACTCCTATCTGAATGAATGAGCCTTCAAAGCATTTTATATTTACTTATTTCACTATTCTCTATTCTCTTATCTTTTTGTATCCTCCACTGCTTATATCTCTACCTATTCTCATCTATAATTTCACATCTCCTATCATCTTAGTTTTAGATGCTGTTATTCACAATGATACATTTGAAAACTGAAAATCATGGAGATTTGACAGCCAAGCTGGCAGACGGGTTACATATCAGAATCATCCTATTTGATTACAGTCAAAAATCAATAACTCTCGTCTCCAAATGATAAGAATTTCTTGCAATTTCTCAGGACCATTGATGCTTACCAAACATTTGGGGGGGGGGGGGGTTAAATTAAAAATGAAACCTGCGGAGGATACAACAATGGTAAAGGACATGTCAATGCATACTTTCCACAAGCATATTTGCTTAGATCTTTCAAGAGTACCCCATGGAAACCTTCAAGACCATACATGCATTTCACTCAATTCCGGCAGAGCGTAAAAGAAATTTGGCCCAAGAATCCCTGCCTGTTCCTTTGAACCTACAGTTCAGCAAGTCTCATTTACCTTAACGTGGCTGTGGTGCTAGGTACAACCGCTAGGATGGTGAAGAACTCGATGCAGAAGAGGAGTCCAAGGAAGAGATTGGTCCAGCCGCAAGACGATTCACATTTTCCCAGCGTGGCCATCGGCAGGTCAGAGGTGAAGTTATCGGGAGCAGCGATGCAGCTGCAGTTGCCATAGCCCTGTTGGAAGAAAGAAGAGAAAGAGAGACAGTTCAGAATTCTGAATCTTCATTTTGCTGGTAAGAATTGTCCAAATTTGTCTTCTCGAGGACAAAATAGAGGCTAAAACCGTCATCAAACAGTACATCTCTGATATCAGCTGGGATTGATTGTAGGACATATGCTTTGGGATCAAGTTAATTGCTCCACTTTTAATTTCTAATACTCACTGAATTAATAGTTTCTACCCTGGAGTCAACACTCTACAGGACCCTACTCTGTACCCAATCCTAACCTTAAATCGCAACCCATAACCCTTATCCTATATCTTTGACATAACAGAAGGCAGAGCAAATGCTGATCACCATCAGCTAGTAAAATAACAAAGTGATCTCTAAAGCCTTCCCACATGCAGCAGTGAACCACCTTAAATAAACCTATTAAAGCCCCTCTGCGCTAGTTTGGCCAGGAGGGATTAGACCTCCCTGCATGGTCACTGGTGGTTTTCTCATCAAATCAGCTCTTAATTAACATAAGAAAAAGGGGATCATGGGGGACCAATGGTCACCGCTCAGGCATTGTTTGCTATATAGAGGGCACAAGTAGCTATAAGTAGTGCAGTAGGGGGCTTTAAGGCTTTAGTCACACCAGACCAACTGCAGACCGAACAAATGATTGCATCACCTCCAAAGTCCAGAAAATCGGTAGGTTCAGAGTCGCTTTAAGGTCTGTCTGGCGGTGTGACTAACGTACTAGCGGCCTTTGTCGCACAGCTTACTTTGTTTGCATCCTACATGGCTTTCATTCAGAAATAAACCGGGATTTTTCTTTGGCAAGACTTTACTTTTTTTCTGAATCACATGTATATATACAGGGCTTAGTTCTCACCTCCTCTTCCCAGCTATCCACACACCCAGCATGGCAGGCAGAGTAGTAGATGATGTTGTCTACGCCACACACCGGTTGGAACATACTGTCGCAGAAGCAGTCTCCATTGCAGGTGTGTTCTAGCTCCGTTTCTCTTGACGTCACATCAACATCTCTAAAAAAAAAAGCAGGTTATGGGTACAAGGTCAAAGAAAACGAGGAACCTAGCTTTAACCCCTTCTGTACTACAAATTTTTAAGCAATCATCAACATTTAATTTTCAAGTATTCATAGAACTTAGCATTTCTGCAGCATACTCACTTTCAAATATTAAAAAGTAAAGTTGTGTGGCTTCTAAATATTGACTTTGAAATCAGGGGATCTGGAAAATATGATCATTATTATTATTATTACCGTACATATTTGACATCATCTGTGCCTGGGAGGGGGAAAAAGCAAACTGAATCACTGTGACCCTTTGGTCTCTCCTCCTGAAATAACTGATGTCTTACAAATATCTGATTTTTTGAAAGAAAATACCATAATCGTTGTTCTTTCTATCGTTCAACATCATTCATTCAACAATATAGAAATATGAGACTTAGTCTTACATTTCTCCATACTCGACGGTGACTCCAGCTATGTTAGGGTTTGGACAGCTGATGATGAATGCTCCAAGGAAGAAAAAGGAGATGGTGAGAACGGCCAGACACCACTTGATCATCCCTTGGACTTTGAGGTCGAACCTCTTGACGACGTAGCCACCGATGATGGAGCCACCTACGGCTGCTGGGATCACAGTGAAACCTGAGAGGAAATAGTAAAAAAGGTGGATATAATAATAGTTATAGTAATAATAATAACAACAATGACAACAACAAAAACAGCACTATCAAACTTATATAACACATATCATAGATAATATGTCCCTATGCACTGAAATGGAAAGGCGGAAGTATGATACAGAAAAGTCATTTTCTGTAATTGTTTTCTGTGATGCCTATTTAGGCTTCATCTTCATAGGCTACATTTAATTTCTTTTTTGTCTTAAGAATAAAAATTAATTCATTTATTGCTGGAAGCTGATGGAAATCAATAATAATGTGCAATAATTATAATGAATTGAAATTGAATTGAAATTCACTAAAAACATGATAATGGTCATTTTCCCAACTTCATTATGTTCTATAAATGAAGGTTGCAGATCTATATTTTAAATGTAAAACATACCCCTTTTATGTCATAATACAGACAACCCCCCCCCCCCAGGCTACCCTCTCTCCCCAATGGAAAACTATGTGGTCCCTGTATTAAGCGAGAATTTGGTTGAAAATATAAAAAATAAGAAACTTAATCTCAGGCTTTCTCTGTGCTATGATAAGCTGTGAAAGAAGCCTTGTGACTACAATTGTGCATTTATTATGATTACTGATTGCTGATAATGGTACCTTAAGATACAATTCACAATAAAAAAACTACTTATTTGCTAGAGGCACAATCCAAAGTCCAATCTATATACCCTAAACATAATATTTATATCACCTTCTTTTCATTTTCAAAGAACCCATAATGATTCCGACAGATTCATAAGCCTTTAATGTTCAGAGGCCTTGAGGAAACAAGATCAGCACAAAGCCCTCTAATGGCACAAATTGCGCTCTTCTAAATTCTTTAATAACCATACTAATTTCAGTTTATATAAAAAGGCCAAATTGGCAATCATGCCTTAATATGGAAATTACCCTACAAAATGTGCAGCTAATCATCTGGGGTTTTTTTCTTCTCAAATACTCTAAAGATTAAAAGCTTGTGAATGTGTGGGAATCATCTTGATCACATTCTAGGCAAAATGACCTTTTCTTTGTGAAGACTCCCATTTTCCATTAGTACCCAATCCAGGTTTATCCTCCAATTTGAAAGAAGGAGATACATGAATGGTATTCACATCACATGTATGTTCTCTTCACAAGATAATTGCTGTCATTAGTGCCGATGATAGACCCACATTGTTCGGCATCGACATAAGAAAGCTTTAATGAGTAAATGGCTCTAGTAATTGCGATTTCCTTTTATCTCTGAAATTGCCTCTGATGTTGTCCGTTCGGAGTCATAAGGGTATGAACTCTGTTGTTAAAGTATATGAGTTAACTCTCTTCTGGCTCCCAACAGTCAATTCAGGTCTTTTTGGAGCTTCATCTCTCTCAGCACTAAACTAAAATACAAGTATTGTTCATTGACATTATGTCACAAATGTTCACCACAGAACTTAGAAATGATCAAGGGATTTTTGTTGTTGTGTGCATATGTTTAATTCAATTCATTGTATACTATCTCATTCTATATCTTTTTTTGTTGATGGCATCTCCCAATGGTGCCATTTTAAAGTTCCAGAATGCACAGCAAGAAATTAAGTTTTTTGTTTTTATTTTTTGTTCTAGGAGAGTCATGTTGCAATGCATGTCTAGTTTATACAATTTTTTAAAAGGGGAATTTTCACGATAAGAAAAGAATTCATGGAATCAAAAGGGTTAATAATTTTCCCACTAGTTGACCGATAAGCAATTCTTGTCAGTTTGAATTGCTTTCCACTAGAAACCGAACCTTCTGGGATCTGGATCTCCCCTCCTCCCCCCCTTCAAAAAAAAAAAAACTGAAGGTAACATAGAATTACTATGGTCATCAAGGGAACAGTTAAAAGAGATCTTCATTGAGACTATTACATTTGACAAATGGCATCATTACACGAACACAGCTGCTTTATTAGAGGAGTTGTACACAACCCATTTCTCACTCTTCAAACTATTCTTTTAGTTCTATCCATCAAGAATACCCTGAAGAATTAATATCTATGGTTTTTTTTATAATTCTGGCTATTCTCTTGTTATTTCTGGTCCATACCATTTTCATTTGAAATTGCATGTACACTAAACCGTTAATAATTCAATGCCCCTGGATGACGTATGTGAGCAAACTAATTCATTTCATTTTATTTTATTTATTAACTCTACCTTATTCTAAAAGGAATACTGGTGTCAGCCAATAAATTGAGCATGATGATACTTAACATTAACATAAACTCTTAATATGATAAATCACTAAGAAGCTTTGGAGAAGATGTCTTTATGTTGACCCTTATCACTTCAAACTGCATTGTTCATTTGTTTATTTCTCTCTATTAAATACTTTCAACATTAATCTTTTGTGTTTCTGTTTTTGATCATTTCCTTTAAATAACAATTGGATTATCAATTTCATAGATATAGGCTAAGTAAACAGAATTAATTGTAATTTATTTTTTGGCTCACCCCTGATCTTATATTGCTACTTCAACGGTTAACTCATGCACCAAATAAGTAAACACTTTACTTTTCCTTGATTAATTTAGAAAGCCATGTGCGCAGGTGTTGACAAGGTCAAGAAAAAACAGTTCTGACAAGAACTAGAACTCTATTAAATCAAGTAATTGCCAAACTGTTCAAGATGAATTATTTATATATGCCGCACATGGGGTGGAGAGATAAGAAATGGGAACAGAAGCAAGTGGTTATAACATTAAAGGCAGGAAAGTAGAATGGTGTGGTGGACTATGTGATTGAAAAGCTGAGATATAATATATTATTGTAAAGAAATAAGGAAATAAGAAGTTGAGGCAAAAACACATATAGACACAGGTAATTTGTTGATTTGGGGGCCTTTGGGGCAAATCCTAGATAGTTTGACAATGAACAAATGCTCCAAGAAAATTAGTAACTGAGTTTATCAACAAAATCTCTGTATTAATAATGATTAGAATGAGAGTCTGACTACGATCTCCATCCCCTTGCTCATTGTGTTTATGAATGAAAATGGAATTTACACATTAATGTCACTTTTGCTCTCATTAGTCACATACATGTACATGACCATAAAAAAATGATTGAAAAGTATTGAGAACATTATATTTCTGGTGCAATTACAGCCTGTCTACTGTGAAAGCTGACTTTGCTTTCCATTGAAACACTCTGTACAAAAGACTTACAAGCTCAGAAAATAGGAGAGACAGATCATCACCAAGTGAGAAAGACAAGAAAGGGACAGGCAAGGGCTGTTTCCACTATCCCATGTTTTCAACGATCTCCCACTATAACTCTGATCCAGGGAAATTAGCCAAATTAACACAGAAGCAAATAGCAGTGCTATTCCATCCTTGTGCTCAGGAAATAAAGTGGAACTGATACCACAAGCAAACTAGGGCTATAGAGTACCAAAACTGTGACATCATAAAACTCCATTTTTAGAATTTCTCAATTTGAACTTAATATTACGAAAGAGCATCAAAAATAATGTGCAAATGTTGAAAACCAATTGAATATGTTAAGTACGGTATTGGCTGAGATATGACCATCCAAATAATAGAGTTCAATAGGAAATCACTGTTCATTACATTATGAACCAGAGCGAAACAACAGTGATTTCCCATTAAAATCTATTTATTTGGATGGTCATACCTCAGCCAATACTTATATTCAATATATTCAATTGGTTAACTACATTTGCACATTATTTTGTATGCTCTTATGGAAAATGAAGTTCATTTGGAAACTCTAAAAACAGTATTTTAATGTCACACTTGACCACTCTGTTTGGTGAACAAGCAGGCCAATCTACAGTTCTACAAGCACTTGATCTATAAATTAGATGCTTTTGCTGTATACATTATAGCTCTAGCTTATTCATCAAGCAAGCACAGGAGCTTTGTCAACTTGGGGCTATTGAAACAAGATGGAAACTTCAAACTGGGACTGTTTTCTTGAGAAGTAGCTGATAGGTCTAATGGGAATGCACCTACAAAGCTGGAGCAAGGTGCTAGAGTCTTCCATAAATCTTTCTCTGGCGGGCTCTGAAGGTTACATGATTTAATAGGACCATGTGTAAAACTGACAAGGGCATGGTGTAGGTGGAACATTACCCAAGACAGCAGCTGAACCTTGCCATGCTTGAGACACAGTTCAATGCTAAGGCACGGACTTGATCTCCTTCTCTCATTCTAGGTCAAATTTAAAACTTGAAGAACACCTAGACTTCTAGGATAACATAGCTTATGTTTTTTGTATGAAGGTGAAGTTAAAACAGAGTGAAGTGAAATATTATAGATAAAGGTTTATGATGGTGGAACATTAAACAGGAGAGCAGCTCAACCCTGTAGGCTTCAGACAGATTTAAATTATAAACCAAAGACTTGATCTTTCTCATTTGAGGTCAAACTTTGGGAACACCTCAACTTTATCAATAACATCATCAATTTTATTGTATCCAGGATGTTTCTGTATGAACAATAGATAAAGGCTTGTGTAGTTCATTCTTTACACTCGTGTATTTCTCAACTAAATCTTTAAACTTTCATTTACATTTTCATTTCAAAACATGACAAATAATTACTACTACCTTTATAGAGCATTGGCCCTATTCTTACTCACAAAGTTTAGACACACTTCATTATTCTAAATTTTGTCTGGTAGTCCAGATGAGCACCGGTGAGAAAGACTTGGCCTAATTACGCTTGACATATGTAAACTACACGCGAGAGACTTTAGGGGCATCAAAGTAAAATGACTTCTTCACCTTTGCAGAGGATCCAATGCAAACATTGTTGGCAACATTTATCGCTTGCTAGTTATTACTCAAGTTTCCAAATTTAGGCTCTCGCACACCTGTGTCCCTATTCCCTAAATAAACCCGATATTGGCAGCACTCCAAATAACTTTCATAGTTTAAACTTGGTAGGGCTTGGTGGTCGAAGACCCTACGATTTGTGAAATTGATATTACTCAATTGTGAATAAACACCACAACAACTGTCACCTTAATCCTCTCTTTACTCCTCCATCTGTTATCATCTATCACAATTGATTTATTCTACCAAGAAAAGACAACTAGAACAAAAGAGGTTGCTAAGATCAGCCGTGATGTCATTTTGATGGGTGGTAGATCTTTCACTCTAATTCCCTCAACAACTGCTAACCAGGCAAATATCCCTTTTCAATACACCGATAGCAGCTGTATGGAAATAATCACCACCCTAGACAAATTGGGAAAGAAGGCTTAAAAGCAGAATACCCCAAGGGCAAGGATGCATCAGCACAATGTACATGGGTTAGGACGAGGGTTAGGTTTAAGGACTGGGTTTAGATTAGGATCAGGGTAAGGGTGAGCTTAGATTTAGGTTTAGGTTTAGGATCAGGGTAAGGTTTAGGGACAGGGTAAGGTTTAGGGACAGGATGAGTCTTAGGGTCAGGGTGGGGGTTAGATTTAGGGTAAGGATTAGGGTTATATTCACACTCAGGCTGAGGCTGAGGCTCAGGCTCTGGGTTAGGGTGAGGGTACTGATTAGGATTGAAGTGAGGCCCTAGGGTCAGCGTTACAGTTCAGGGTATGGATACTTGCACAAAGGGGTATTCTGCAGCTGTTCTAGAAAGTATCATTCATCCAAGATCACAACTTTATGTATGAATTGAAGGGAAAAAATGAAAAAGTATAAAGTTCAAATTTTGTAGTATCACCAGGAAAAACATATGACAACAGGGCATGACACTCTCGATCAGCTGTTGCATTTTAATAAACAACTGGAAAAGCTGATAATCTTGGGCTGCTGTGAGTAATGGTCGAGTATGGTTGTGAAGACCACTGATTCATTGGTGAGTCTTCTCACAGATTTACACGATCCTCCCAACAAATCCCAGGCATGTAAACTTATAAGGGAATCAGGCTGATAACACGCAATGATCATCACGCTGCTGCTTCAATTGGGAGCTTTGTCTTGTCGGAAATAATATCTGCAAGCTTCAAATTGGGCCAGCATTTGCTTCAGAAAATCAACAGAAGTTATAATTCTCTTATCCTGTAGACTATTCCTTTTGTACTGAATATCTGATAGGATCCCTCCTCAAAATTATTCAAGCATTTGGTGTGGTTTTTCATTCACCCTTGTTTGTCCGGAATTTTTAAATGACTAACTTGTCAAACTGATTTTGTTTTGTTTAATAAGGGGGTATCTAATGTCATGGTTTCTCATGAAACAAAGTCTATTCAATCTAGTAAAAACCTATAATGGTTAGAAGCTGGTATAGATATGAAAAAGATGTTCCTAATTTGATATTCAGTTATGAATTTGTAGACTTTTACAATTGCCTCTTGTTAACATCTTCTCTGGAAGACTTGTAATGCAGTATGCTTGAACATTTGATTCTCTAAATAGCTTTCTTCCTGATCACCCACCTTATACTCTATTGCCTTTAGCAAAGAAGAATTCTTCTTCTTCTCTGCTCACTACATATAACACATGTCCATTACCAGACACAGGATCTAGTCTTGAGGTTGAAACCTTCAAGATCTTCAAGAGTACACGCTCCTGAGAGAAGTTGAGAGATGTGCATTTGTCCATTCCTCTCCACAGTCTTTAATACATAGGTTGTCACAAAGTCCATACAAACTGATTCAGCCGAGGACACAGGTTCGAAACTGAGTCATGTCTTTCGGATGGTGATGTTTAAAGGTCGGTCCCCAGACGTAGATAATCATATCTGATTGATACACATCTTTTAAAACCCAAGTACACACACACACACCGAAGAATGAATGAAGTTTGAGCACTCACCTACTAACAGAGCCGCCCAGCTTGATGAAAGGTTGAACTGTGATTCTAGGAACTTAGGTGCGAACACTGCAAAGCCAGCCAGAAGAAACCATTCCGTGGTGGCAGCACCACAGATGCACATAAAAGGAACATTCTTCACCAGGGCAAGAGTGGCTTTGGGGAAGTCCCTCAGGCTGTTGCCGAAGCCCTCTCTGGTAGAGAACTCAGCACCATTGTGGGCCTCGTTGACCCTCTGTTTGGCCAGTCGGTGCTGACCTGTGGTCAAGATAAAGGAATGATTAGCTTATACCATTTCATTTCAGGAAGGAGTACTCAAAGATCTTCATGGACAGTTCCCTTCCTCGGCAAGTGTTAATTAGAGACACTATTTAAAGGAAAATAGGAAATGTTAACCAGCAGTTACTATGGAAGGATGGAGTTTTATTTGTTAATTGACTTTCCTTGACTGTTTATTGGTAGATACCTTTTCATGCATACCCAACATGAACTTTAGCCAAGGTAATTACTTTACTGTATAAGAGTATTTGGAGTACATGTATTTTGATTCTTGAACCAGGGTACCAATCACCAAGTTGATCAGTGTAATACAGCATCATCTTTGTTCTGATCACGGCAGGTCTTTACCTGTTTTCAATTCCCATCATGATGACATCATCCTACCCCCTATGATCTACTGAAGATATGAAGTTATCAAGATTGACCTCTGACCTCTAACCCAACTATGGCCTTTCAGGGAAATGTTACAATTGCCATGGTATGAATCATCTTTTAGGAGCCAGAAGGGCATTAACTGAAATATTTTTAAATGGAGTTTTACTCTCTGACAGATGAACTTAGCAGCTTAGCGGCTTAGCGAAAGGTAGGGGAATGTAAAGACACATCTGGAACAAAACAGGTATGATTTTTGACAGTCATGGTTATGTCTAACATACAGGTAAAACTATGATTAAGACATTGACTGACTGAGCTAGTAATCTCTACTACTTGGACTATGCTAAATATTACCAAAATGGTAATTCTAGTATGTCTAATTTTACACTCCATCATTTGCCTATTTATTCATTTAAAACGATCCACTTTAAAATAAAACTAGATGGAATTCGACTGCGCGCAGTCGAAAATGATGCCTCCGTCATAGAGCAATTTTACAAACCGAAACGGAAGAAATTTTTCAAATTCAAGTTCAATTGTAATCCATTAACATGTTCTCAGAATATCGTGATTACAAGCAATTTCTCATAAACATATATGACCCTTTGATCTTTGACCTCATGACCCTAAAATCTACTCAGTTCATTGGCTCTGCAAGATTTCCTGAGTTAAATAGTAATCCATCTGTCAGTTCTAATGAGAATGCGTCCACAAGCTATTTTTGCATACATAATGAGCCCATGACCTTTGATCTTATGAACCATTCATTGGCTCTGCAAGATACATAAATGATCTAAGTTTGGCAGGAATCCATCAATCTGTTCTAATGATAATACGATCACAAGCTATTTTTGCATACATAATGAGCCGCATGACCTTGACCTTTACCTCATGACCCCAAAATCTAATCAGTTCATCAGCTCTGCAAGTAACATACATGACCAAAGTTTGGCAGGAATCCATCAATCGGTTGTTCAGATAACGCGATCACGAGCTGTTTTTGCATACATAATGTGCGCTGTGACCTTTGACCTCGTGACCCCAAAATCTAATCAGTTCATTGGCTTTGCAAGATACATACATGACCAAAGTTTGGCAGGAATCCATCAATCGGTTCTTCAGATAACGCGATCACAAGCTGTTTTTGCATACATAATGAGCCCTGTGACCTTTGACCTTTGACCTCGTGACCCCAAAATCTAATCAGTTCATCAGCTCTGCAAGATACATACATGACCAAAGTTTGGCAGGAATCCATCAATCGGTTGTTCAGATAACGCGATCACAAGCTGTTTTTGCATACATAATGAGCCCTGTGACCTTTGACCTTTGACCTACGTGCTCCAAAATGTAATCAGATTGTTTTCCTATAGTGATACACACTATCACTAAGTTTGAAGTTTAAATCTCCAGTGGTTCTTGAGATATCATGATAACAATCTCAATGTATGGAATTTCATAAGTTGACCTCTGTGACCCTTGACCTTTGACATACGTGCTCCAAAATCTAATCAGATCGTCTTCCTATGGTGATACATACTATCCTTAAGTTTTAAGTTTAAATCTCAAATGGTTCTTGAGATATCGCGCTAACAAACTCAATACAAGGAATTTCATAAGTTGACCTCTGTGACCTGTGACCTTTGACCTACGTACTCCAAAATCTAATCAGATCGTCTTCCTATGGTGATAAATACTATTCCCGAGTCTTAAGTTTAAATCTTAAATGGTTCTTGAGATATTGTGATAACGGTCAAACGGGACGGACGGACGGACGTACGGACGTACGGACGGACAACCCGAAAACATGATGCCTCCGGCATCACCTTCGGTGGCGGAGGCATAAAAAGCATAACAATAATAACATGAATGTTATAAATATAAAAAAGAAGATAATAATACAGAACAAAGGTATACATAAAAAAGAGAGAAAATGCCTATACATACACTAATCATTTAGTATTGATGATATAACATACTCTCTCTCTCTCTCTCCCTCCCCAGATAACACTACACTTGCTAAGGTACCTTAGAAGATTTAGCAACAAATTTCTTACCTGGAAGAGATTTTGGGAATGCAAGAAATGGAATGATGATACTGAGAGCCAGGAAAGCGGTGAGAATGAAGCCCATCCACCAAGCTCCAACAAAGAGGGGGCTCTCCGGATCGAGACCAAGGCTGTAAAGAGAAAATATGTTGAGCTTGTTAGACAACTTAAGAATTAAGATTGTATCATTTAGACATTTATAAAAACTTGTCATTGATTTCAGATTCAATTTTTTTTTGTAATATCTTGCTCAAATGATAAAAAAGGCTGCAAATTGAGTTTATAACCTTCACAGTAATTTTAAGGAATGTGCCTTACTGCCTTTACTAAAACTACAGCAGATACCACTATGTATATTTGATGTACAAGCAGCATTGCAGTAGCAAAGCAAAGGCCCAAGTAAAATTGAAGCACGTGTGAACACCCGCTGCACAACAGTCTTGAGCTCAATACAAGAAGCCAGCATTACAATGAATTTAGCATCTAGGACTGACAAATAAAACAGAAAATGCATATTTTCCATAAAGGAGAAAGAATATGAACATAGATGAATATCCCCCAACCCATTCCGCTCTGACCCCCTCTCCAAACTCTCAAAATCCATACTCTCAATCTCTAGACTGGAGTGAGCAAGGAGGGAAATTGAATGTGATTTGTTCAAATCAATGACAGCTTTGGTATTTGTTGGAAAAGAAAACTGTAAGAGGTTCTACAACGGAAAGGAGATTAAAAAGATGGAGACAGTTAGGTGTGGAGAACGGGAAATGAATGGGAGATGGGTCGATTAAATGATAGAAAAAGCCCATAATATTGTCACTTTGGATTGGGGTAGACTTGCGGTTTTGTATGAAATGCTATACTGTACATGATTCAGATATATTTCCACAGACAATCTGTATATTTACTCTGTTTAAGGGAGAAAATCATTATTTCAAAAAAATCTATCTTATTTGTTACGCGCAATAGGTCTTGGCTGAACTTACTATACATGCACCACTTGATTATATCAAGGCATCTATCACCACTCAAAGAATTCAGAGTGATTTTCAAATATATTTATATTTGCAATAGTAACGTTGAAAAAAGGGGGTTTACCCCATTGATAACACCAGATTCAAAACGTAAAACACAACATCATTGAGACCTCCAAACAAACTTGCCATCAAGATTCCCAAAAGCTTTTGACACAAAGGTCCTGAGGCAATGGACATGGGCAAATGAAAACATCTGTTAAGGGGTTGACCCTAATTCACAAAAGGAACTCAAGCTCATAATCTTACTAATTCATCTGCCATGCTTCTTTGACTACCAACATTCTATTTCTTCATATTTCTTCTTGACATAATTTCCATTAATCAAGCTGAAACTAGACCTTGAATTCCTGTGGCTAGGCATTCACATTTCTTTGTGAAATATATTTATTCATAAGTCAAAGATACAGGAGTGAAGTTAGGGACAAAACTAGACACTTGGGGCCACATATGGGACTAAGGGAGGTTTTGTCTGCTTCTTCATATCATCTACAAACCTCTAACTCCCCTTTCAGACGAGGACAAATGTATGTCATATCAAAGAAATATTCTTAGGATGAAAACCAATCATCCGTTGAGAACCAGAAAGTATCAGATGTCTCTGCTACATGTTCATAAGGACATAGAAGAGGTGTCGTACTCAAGTGGTTTAAGCACTTGACTAGTAAATCAAAGATTAGGGGTTCGATCCCTGACATGGCACTAATGTCCTTTTGACAAGGCATTAATCTACATTTGCAACCCTTTACCCAGGAGAGAAATGGGGACCTGGTAGGATGACGAAAGCCTTTGTGTTAGTTATTGCCATATGCCCCCATGGTGATCATATGGTAGGAATACTCCCCAGGGAGTGGAGAAGGTGCACATTGTGCATGATTGAATCTGAATACCAGGGAAATAATATTTGGAAAGCGCTTTATAGAGACAGTATTTTGTGTTCACCCCATGAAGGCCCAAAATTAGGCGTTTGAATATCTAGTAATTTCTTTGGCAGTGGTCTTCTTATGCAAAGTTTCAGTTAATGTGAGAGGGCCCGATATAGTTGGCTATCACTCTAATCACATGTGAAATACATCGTTGTGGGTCCAGACGAGAACTTCCCCCAAGCAAAGTTTGAACTAAACTGCCCTGGAAATGAGTCAGGGAGCATAAAGAGAGAGAGAGAGAGAGGGTTAAAAGTGCTCAAAGATCCACTGCTATAGGTTGAACCACATGTGGAGGTGTGGTGGTAGAGTGGTTCTAACACTTGCCTGGAGTTGTGAAGGTCATGGTTCTATCCCTCACATGGTTTGTAAGTCCTTAAGCAAGGTATTTTATCTACATTGTTTCTCTCCACCCAGGTGTTAAATGAGTACCCAGTAGGATGGGAGCATTGATATGGTTGGATAGGGACATGTGCAATTGTAATATGGTGCCTGATCGAATACTCCCCAGGGAGCAGAGTGTGTGCACTATCATGTGCAGATCAGTAAATGAATCCCATGACAGGGGATACAATAATTACAATGTGAAGCATTTAGAAACTTAGTATTGAGCACCATACAAATGTGATTAACATTATTAAGGCACAGACACACATCAGTGATAATGCATAACACAAGGTATCCATGTTGCAGACTAGATGATGTAGTGGGATCAGTTGGAGTAAAGCTGACCCAAGGCACAATGTACTTTGTCAAAGGGGTAAAAATCAGAGTCTGAGCTAACCGCAAAGAGGTGACAGAGACTGCCCGGGAAGGAAGGGTGTGAAATACAATTAAAGAAACAATGGACGGGACAATGGATGATGCACAGTTCGCAGCATCCTGATGATAACAGTTTTCTCACCGCAAACGCAGAATTCCATTATCCATTTCTGCCTTTTAGTGATTGCAGGGTTTAACTCTTTGTTCTCAGGTAGGCCCTGTACAGACGATTTGTCCAGAGTTTTATGTTTACATACAGTGTACGTGTGAGGAAATTTGACTTAAGTAGTTTATGTTGTTCTACATTATTCAAAAGTTGAATAAGGCAGGAAAAGAGTTATAACCTCCAGTTCTATTATAAAATTCTTTAAGCAAAATTAAAACAGATTTATATGATGCTTCATACTTGCACTATAATTCATATGCTTTCCCATATACATGTGCACATTCTCCACTCCATGAGGAGTATTCCAACCAGGCGCCTTTTTAAAAAGACACACACAATGCTGACCAAAACACGATGGCATTCACATCCTATCGGGTACCAATGTAACACCTGGCTGGAGAGAGGCAAAGCGGATTAAATGCCTTCTTTTAGAACATAAGTGCCATTCTAAGAATCAAACCCACAACCTTAACTGCCGCACCTTAAAAGTAGTACAGTTTTGTTTAACTGGAACACTCAATGGAAGAGTTACATGTTAGGATAAATTTAGAAACAGTGTCATTTAAAGGGGGCACATTATGGGCCCCCTCAGTCTGGCTTTCAATTTACATCACAAAGATATACCGGTAATTATATGTTGGTATTTGGGAAATCATTGTGAGGGAACTATAACTGGGTGAGGTGCTGATGGAACTTGATAGAATGTCACAAGAGTAAAATGGTTGTATATTTTGTAGCAAGTACCCAAGGGAGTGTACAATGATCCTTGTACCAGGGAAATTTCCATAAAAGTACAGTGAATAAAATGGATGAGAGCAATGGGCAAATGAGGTCTGGAAAACTTAAGAACAGTGCTGAAACACTCAAAGAGAGCTGTGATAAAAAACACAACAAAAGAAAACATAAAATTGATAAAAGGAAGTCTAACTTTACTCCAAGAAGAACTCTCATAGACAAAAATTTATCTAAAAACTGATAACAGATTGAACACTACTTTGGCAAAATGATATTTGGCAAAAGGGGTACATACTTTCTTACACTTTAACAAATAATTGAGCATTTTTAAGGACTCAATATCCATAATTTTTCCACTCACCCTATTTTAAATCTGTCTCCCCTATCGCTATCGCGCTCTCTCTCGCGCTCTCTCACTCTCTCACTCTCTCTCTCTCTCTCTCAAACACACCCACCCTTGCTTTCATCTATCTCTCTTACTCTCTCTCTCTCTCCCATTCTCTCTCATTCTCTCTCAACATGCACTGTTCCCCCAACCCTTTTTCTCGTCCAGAGTTCACCGTAATTTTCCTTGGTACAAAGGACGTCATACATCTGGCCTGCCAAACTATAAAAACCAGATGCGCTGCAATTATAAATCCACTACCAATCTTTGCTGATGTCTTTGGCATTAGCCGATAATCACCACAAATTTGGTGCAGATGCCCAATCTTCTGAGGGTTTTTCTAGCACCTTTCTAGAGGTCCATTCACATATGATGTCGTAAACCGCAATGTTTCTATGCATTTGACCTTTAGGAAGCTACATTTTATCCCACTTGTCAATCATTTACTCTGTTTAAAAAAGAAAATGATGCAGTTTCATGTATGTGAATGGCTCTTAGCAAGGTGCGAATGGACATAATGACAGACGGGGATACACCAGAGAGATGGTTTCCTGAGAGACTGGTGACCCTCTCTCACGTTGGGGATCAACAATGAGTACAATCGATGATCTGGTGTGTCATATTGACAGCTGTCATTGGCAACCAGTCTTCATACTGGTTTAATACAGAGCTAGCTCTGTGTAGTTTTTGTTAGGGATGTTGGTTTGGGAAGAAATTATATTATAACAGCCATGCACTTTCAATTTAGAACGATATAGAAATATCTTCTTTTTCAGGTGGGCTGTATATCGTACAGACCACCTTATAATTTCGTTAGAATTGCCTTTATCAGGTGGGCTGTATCTAATACAGACCACCTTATATTTTTGTTAAAATCGCCTTTATTATTTATTTATCAGGTGGGCTGTATCTAATACAGACCACCTTATATTTTTGTTAAAATCGTCTTTATTTATTTATTTATTTATTTTTCTTATTTCGACCCACTTTTTGTTAGCAAGATAACTTAACAAAAGCTTAATCAAATAACTTGAAATTTGGCACACATATGTATTAGCATATGGACAAAACACAGTAAGGTTTTCAACCTTGACCTTGACTGATGACGTCATCTAGGCGCCATTTTGTG